CAGAGCAAATGTTTTGGTGCTGGTACAGCAGAGACCAGAATTACTACCTGTGTGTGTTGCTTCCTGTCAGGCCTTAGAGTCACGCAGCAGAAGGAAGAAGAAGGCAGGAGGAAGGGAGCAGCTGATCTCACAGACCAGTTGGCGCTACGAATTTTGTCGCCGCAGTCTGAGGTTGGTGGTGGCGGTGCTCGGCGCAGCGGGGCCCGGGGGCTGTGCTGTCTGCACTGCACCACGTGCAAGACAATCTGAAATTCATGACCAGCCTGCACTTTTTACCAGCAGCATCAGCCACCCAAAGACCTCAAAGTGCTGGGGACAGTAATCCTGCCTGGCAAGTAGGGGCTACCCCTGTGCTGGAAACAGGGAAGTGGAGACAGAGTTTTAAGAGCAAGAATCCCAGCAGCGTTTAGATGTTTAAATTATTGTCAGCAAGCTAGACAAATAACTTGAAACTAACACGATTTCACACCTAAACACCCTGGAAAATCCCACGCAAGGTTCCTTTCCCAAGATTCACAGGCTCGGGGTGTGAGAGGGGCAGCATCCAGATCCTTGGAGTTGTGATCTCTGTAATTTCTGGTCTGTGCTTTAACTTTGTTTGTAGATCTCTGTTAAGGTCTTGCATCAAATGTACATAGGCAGCATGTCTCATCTGGGCATGAAGGGTAGATCCATCTCCATTGCATTTTACTGCCTAACATCTAGATGCCAGCCCTGAAACAGGTGTTCAGCTGCTTTGGCAGTCAAGGAAGAAAGGGACACTTCCAGAGAGGAAGTTTTCCCATTGTAGGATCACTTCCTTGGGGTACAATGCAGTCACCTGGCATTATCTTACCATCTCCAACTCAAGCTATCAGTTTGGAACAGGTGCTTTTTATCTCAGTTATTATTTTTGACACCTACATCTCGGACACAGACACCTATTAGAGTCTGTCACACCAAGTTGCACCATCTCTGATGGCTCAGTCTGGATATCCTCCTGTACCAGCAGCAGAGCCTGGATTTGGCTCTGCCAAGGAGCTCAAATCAGGCAGCCAGCTGCAAAACTTCACTCCCACAGATTGTTACAGCATTACAATTGATGCTATTCAGAAAAGCAGAGTAACAGCTATGGTAGTATTCCATGTGTATTAAAAAGAGAAAAAAAAAAATTAACGCGTGTTTTGGAATTCAGCGGAGTGACCTTTTGACCAAAGACTGAATACATTAACTCATCAGATATCTGTAATCAAGGCCAGGAGTTTTAGGTGGTGGGTTTAAAAGCTCCTGCAGGTGCTAAAATACATGGGTTGATTTTTCAGGTTCCTTACAAATCATATTATTCTTTTTAGAATTTCCAGTTAAGATACCTTAAAACATCATTTTTGCAGTTCCAGGGTATCTCATATTCATCTGTCCTTTAGGACTCCGTACATCTTCCCCAGCAGCTTTGGAGCCCAAGTAGCAAAATTCTCATAAAAGATTTACAGAAATTTAAAAAAGTTGGCTAAAAATAAATGCTGAATATTTGAGAATATACAACTCATGTATTTCAGAAAATCTCTAAAATCAGCTACAGTGGCTGCATATTTGGTACGCATCTCGCTATAGAGACAGATAAGACTCCTGTTTCCCTCAGCTATAGAGTTCCCTCAAATTGTGTTACTAACATTGTGTAAAATACTCCAGCTGTAAAACTGAGCCTGGACTTTCATTACTAATACTCCCAATTTTCAGCTGCCTTGAGGAAGCAGGTTGATTACTTATTACACCTGGAAACACCATGCCTTGAGAAACAAAGAAGTCACCAGACAGCTGGCTGAGATCAGCCATCCATTGGCTTTCTCGAGGCAAAGGGAAAGGTTCTTTTCCCAGCTTCACATTTTGGCAGGAGTAGAGATAGTCCCCTGCCCAACCAGCCCTGCCAAGACACGGTGGCTGTGTGTGGAAGGTGGATGCTCTGAGGGCAGGCAGGGCAGCCCTCCGTCTCTCCTCCTGCATAACATGCAGATTCCTCTCCCAAGATACTTTAGATTTTTTTGCGAAAATGTAAGGAATAGTGCCCAGCTGTGTACTGGTCTGCACTGAAAGACCCAGCCAGCGTTTTGCAGCTGTCAGTGGCTGGTGTGAGATGTGGTGGTGGGATTCACACCCCACAAAACCCCACCACAGCTCTCCAAGAGGCCCCAAAGTGAAGAGGCACTGGGACTGACCCGTCCTGCTCCACACAGAGAGGATCTCTACAGATATGTTCCCTGCAGGGATGGAATGATTTCAAAGCCTGACTCTGCTATCTGTATGATTACTAATAGGATTATTTTTTTAAGAAACACGAGAGCTCTCTCTGGATGCCCTTCATTAGTTGGTGGGTACATTACCTGTCCCTTTGCCAGAGGAACTCCAGCACACCCAGCAGGTCAGAAACACAAGGAGACACAAACTGCATTCCCATTGCCTGTTTATTACCAAAAATAGGGAAGTATAATTTAGCACAGAATGTGAGAAGGGCAGTGAACAGCTCACCCCACTTGCTGTCTCTGCTCTCTGACCGTATAGGGAAAGGTGGGCTGTCTGAGGGGAAGACAAAATAAGGAATAGACCCACTCATGCAAATCTAGAAACTCTCCATTAACAAATATTATGTGTCAGTTTGGCTCCATTCATCTCTGTTCTTCATTGATGTGCCTCTGGACAGGGGGGTTGTGAGGACAAGGGTGGTCTACTCTGCGCCTGTTCTTGGATGGTAGCAAACCAAAGCCTTCCCAGTGATGAGCTGCTACCTTGATTCCATTAAAGACCTCAGTTGGATGTTGGTTAGATCTGGTATTTAAGCACCTCAGCCTGTCTTATCCCTGGAATGCCTGAAACCCTATGCAAGGTTTATCTTCTCACTTCCCCACCAGTTTCCAGAGTCTACTTGACAATTCTAGGGCAGCCAAAAGCCAACACTGGGGAAAAAAAAAACCCAAGGAACCAAGCCTGATTACATGAGCAGACACTTGAACTACTTGTTTTCATCTTGTGGGGGTTTTTTACAGAACTAACTTTAACTTTGTGTCTAAGTTTTTCCATCTGTAGAAAAGCCTCTTTTTGCAAAGCTCTGTAGAGATCTCTATTCTTAGTGCTGTTATGTCAATATGTAATTAATTTGCCTAATTCTGCTGTACTGTTCTGGAATACTTGGAGATTGAAGTGTAGACTTTTTGTGACTTGGTTAAAGAGAAAAACAAGATAAAAATAATGGAGTGTTGGATGCAAATTTATTCCCTGAGTTACTAACACATTAGATTTCATGTGCACTGCTGAAGATATATCCAAGTACAAAGATGCCAAAACATGGCTTACTGAGGCAGCTAAAAAAAGAAAGGGTGACACGGCCAATGACAATTTAAATAGTTCTGACAACGATGTGTGACCTGATTTGTTGCTTCCTGAACAGGATGGTAATTTTTGCTGTGTGCGTTGGCTGGGTTCACATGGGTTTATTTACTTGCCATCCCATGTTTAGATGTTGCTACTACGAAGGGGCCAAAGTGTGCTCCCTGGGCATACAGCATCTCCCTCAGCACACAGGAGCTGCAGTGCTCATTGGGAGAGCCCAGTGTGCTGCTCTCCATGTGCTTTGCCAGCTCCCCAAAACCCTGGCCAGGTTCTGCTGGAGTCAACAGAGACACTCCCATGGACTTGGAGCTGGATTAGGTCACTGGCTGCCATGGGAGAGGAACACAGCCAGGTCCACTGGCTCAGACACACAGGCCACAACTTCAGCCTGTGAGGTAGATGGAAATAGCAGGCTACAGTTTCTTAACAAACATTCAGAATAACTAACCAATAGTTATGTGATACCGTGTCCATGTAGGGATTATGCTGGACTACAGGTTAAGAGTTCTTAGCTGTGAGTTCCCAAGGGCTTTGGCCTCTTTCCCAGCACTGAAGAACCACAAACGCTCATCTTGCATCTCAGCTTTGCTCAGCAGTGAACCCCACCTGCTGGGGTCCTTCTCAGAACTCTTCAAAGCTCAACCCATAAAAGACACAAGGGGGATTTATTCTATTGTGAAAAGAAGTCAATTTGGTCATGACCAGCATGGTCTTCAAAGGAAGTCCCTCCCCAGGTCTTGATTCCATCCTAGTTGCCATGTGCTACTGTGACTCACTTGAAGTCCTCTTGGTACTTACGGTTCCATAAGTGAGCTGGCCAAAATATTAACTGCTATTTTTAAGCCTTTCAGCTGTCAACTCTCCCCATCATTATTTCATACTGGTCTTCAGGGAAAAGGAGTGGTAGCACTTCACCTAGGCCATCTTCCCCTGCAACTCCTGTCTGGATTCTGCAGTTCCTCTCCCCCACCCAGCATGGGGGAGAATCTTCTCCTTCAGCCTCTCCCACCAGCCTGTGCTACCCCAGTGAAAAGGTTACTGGTTTTATCTTCCCTCTGAGAGGCAGGGCAGAGGGTACCCCTTCCCCTCCAACCCTGCAGATAACACCTGTACCTGAAAGAGTGGTGGGCTTAATCAACAGACCAGTTTTACTGTGCTTTCTCTGAAACACTGCATGCTTTTACAAAGCAGATTTTTGCTTAGTGTCTGCACTGAGTGCTGAGAGGGACAGGTGCTGCCCCATGCCTTGGCACCATGCCTGAGCTTCAGGTGTCCTCCAAGGTTACTCAGTCACAGGAAACTCTTCCCTGCCTGAGCTGGTGTTTCAGAAATGGTATGGACTTTAGCTGTTTGCCAATAGTAAAACAAATGTATAGGAAGGCCAGCCCTGGCTTCAGGAGTTTGGTCATATTTCCAAAAACAAACCTAACTGAATTTATTGATTCATCTCCAGCCAGTCCCAGAAAGATCTCTCAGAAGGGTGCCCACTTTCTGTCACTCCAGCCTGAGAGAGAGGCCAGACCCCTCTACCAACTTCAGGGGCCCACTCTATCATCCAAGGAAATTTTATTCTGTAGAACTATATTTTAATTACACTACATTATATATATTATATATATATTTTAGTTATAACTAAAATTTTTAGTGAGTAAACCAAAAACACTCCTCTATAACAACAATTGAAACAGTTCAGCAGCTATAATTTCCTTAGTGCCTATGGACAACTAGGAAAATGTACATAGGAACATACACAAATAAAAACTTTGTCAAACATACATGATATTTCATGGATAGCCTGGCCTTTGAAAGGTAGAGTTTCTTTCATTTAATGGCCATACACACAAACAGCATTTCAGAAGATGCCAGAATTCCTGCTACCTTGATCTACTTCTCATTTATCCAAAAAGGCAGCACTGTTATTACATATGTTATACATAAAAGCAACTCTGCTAAAGTGGATTAAATGACAAAAGTACCCAACTCAAAAGGTCCTGTAGCACAGTTAAGCTTCTGGGAAGCTTTCTTCCCAGAAAGAACTGGTACATATTTGTCCCCATTTACTTTAAAAGTTTGTCCCTCTTAACCACAAGAATGTCTGGAGATGAGGAAAGCATTTTAAGAGAAGCTTTTATATTTATTCTTGATTTAGACTTGATGAAGTACTCTTTAAGAACAGGTCTTATGTCTTGTTATTACTATTTTTGTTGTATCTACAGCGTGACAAGAAAATACTTGCCCAAAATACCAAAAGAGAAAAAACCTCTTGAGAGAGCCTGTTCTTGCAAGATTCCCATCCCAGTATTTACAGGCCCAGGAGGTCCAGATAAGCTTTGAATATGCATCAAAGCTCCTGGATGGTTATCCAAAACAAGCACAAGCCCTGAACCTTCTGAAATTTGTCTATCACCAGTTATCACATCCAGTTCTTCCCCTTTCTACCAAGAATCAGTCTCCTTCAGGAAGTTCCTATGCTCACTGACTCTTGATTGTCCACAGAAGGATATGTAGGATTTCACTAATGTCTATACCAGGCTTTCAAAATTAGTCACGCTGCTATTATTTTCCAGCATTTAAGCAAATTTTTCTTATTTAAAACTTGAAAAAACCCTGAGCTTTTACTTCCAAGCATTACCTTGACAGAGCATCTGCAGCTCTTCCCAATGATGAGTTGAGAGTCTGTAGGTTCAGGGGTTCAGTGAGGCACAGACTTGGAGTCTCCCCATTGGGACCAAGGCTGGAGTTCATCCATCCTGCACACTGGAGTGAAATATGGGCAGAGATTCTACTCAGTCCCTGGTGAACAGTAGCTCACACAATAAAACTATCATACCTAATTCAGCCTTTGAGGGAAAGGCTTTGCCTGCAGGCTGATTTATGGGCTAACCCAGCAGATGATACTCCCTATAGGTCAGGTGTGATGAGGTCATTGACAGGGCAATATCAACTAAGTTTTTGACTGTAAATTCCCTTTATTTCAAAAGTTCTAACAAAAATATAAACAATTTGGATAAGGTTCCTCTATAACTCAAGGAAAATACTCTTGCTTTATGTCCTTCATAAAGTATTGCCATATTGCATTATCTTTTCTTCCCTTTTCCTTATGTATAAAGTAAGATTACCAGAATAAATTCATTCTCCACGTTGACATGACTATCTTCTGAGTACTTTCAAGTTCATTTACAAAATTCAGTGGAGATTGCTTCAATTAGGGTCATCTGGTCATGTATCCTTGATCCTTTGATCACCAAAGCAGAAATACCATGTTAGTAATCTCTGGGCTACCATTTGGGTTAATGAATCGGCTTGACTTTAATTCTAGCCCAGATGTAATCTTTTATAGCTTAATGATTTGTTCCAACATGAACTCCAATTGAATGTAAACAGTTTCTTTATTTAGAGAGAAAATTCTTTTTTATAACTTGTTTCTCTTCCTAATTAATTCTAGAGCAATTAAATCAAACCTTGATCTGTGGCAATCAAGATTAAATCATAGTATAGGTTAGGCTGTTAATATCGTCTTTGAGTTCATTATTATCAAGGCTAACAGTAATCAGCAAAGGAGGGAGAAACTGATATAGCGAAGACTACAGATCTGAGGACTTGTTCTTGTTTTTAATAGCTGATCTGCTTTAATGTATGATAATACTTGCACTTATTTAGTAACTGTTTTCCAAGGAGCTCAACATACTCTCCCAAAGTTAATTTATTCTCACAACACTGATGTGCGGGAGGTAAATATTATCTCCCAGGGACACTGAAAAGTTTTGAGGCACAGAAGAGTTGTGGGCTGTTTGCAAAGTCACAGATTGGGGCCCAGATTTTAATGCCATTAACAAATCATTAGCTGGGGAGCTTCGCCGTAAACTCTGGTTATGATGAGAGAGGAACAGCACCTCATCCATAAGCACTCACCGAGCGTCCTGCTTAAGGCGGATTTGTTGGCCACTGCATCCCGGCAGTCCTTGCAGTTAAAAGCTGCCACTGCTGTGAGCTGGCTGCCTCCACAGACCTCCTTCCATCGCACCTCTTCAAGAGGACTTGCCATGTCACTTGGCCCTGCAGTTACCAAGGGGGATTTGTGTTCCCAGAGGTAAAAAAATTCATTTGTAAGTTAACTTATGGATTTGACAGACATTGCAGTTCTAAGCTTTGTTTAAACAGTCTGGTCTGACCATATTACCACAAACCTTCATTTTGAACCAAGCCTAGATTTAAAGGACAGTGAAAGGGATTTTGCAGCCATGACTGTCCTCAAATCAAGGCACTGATGTCCCAGACAAGCCCCAGCTGAACCCGTTCTCTGCCTGGATCTCTGTACATAATTATATTATCCCATGCTGTGGCAGATTAATCCCGACTGTGCAGGAAACTCCTGCCCATTTGGGTCATCCCTGTGAGGTACAGCAATTGTGTGGAGAGGACCAAATCACCCTGGTTCAACTCCATACAAGGGAAACACAAGAAAGCATCACAATGTTGTTTGTACTCCAGTCCTGTATTAGCTTCAAAAAAATTACAGCAGTGCCATTTTCAATTCAGTGTTATGCTGGAAAGGTTGCAAATTAATTAGAATTATGCCTTCTTTGTGCCAAGTGATAATTTACTGCAATTAATTATCAAAAGATCTACTGCTGTCAATTATAGTACTTGCTCTTTGGGGGGGAGAAGCTATTTACGTATAGCTAAATTCTGTAACAAAGTTCCATTTTACTTTTATTGTTTTCAATTAAACTATCATCATTTGCCTTCCCTCTGCCAAATACAATAAAGACTCGTTAAGAACTAATCATGCTACTGTGACCTTTTTTTTAATCCAAACATTAGCTAGACCTGCACTGAGTCAACACTCCTATTGTTACACCTGCAAATTGTATGTAGAGAGGAGCATACTTCAGAATTAATGAGCACAGCTGTGGTCTCTCTTACATTCAACACTTGTAAAACAGACCTCTTTAAAGTGCCATTATCACAATATTGATAGAGTTATTTATAGTACTGCAAACGTTCCCAGTCATAACAGAGTCCTTGTTATCCCCCACAGCAGTTCATGTTGTTGCCATCTCCTGGACTCATTCCACAGTTTGTGATAAGGCACCACGTGGACAATCCTTTACGAACAAACTATAAAAGACATTAGGAAAAGTTCTACATAGGCAAGTTTTAAAGCTGGGAATAGGTCAAACTGTCAAAACCCAGCCTGCACAAGACTTGTCATGTTCTTGTGCTGTGCAGTTTCCTGTAATTTCTGGGTGGGATGTGAAATGAAATTACAGACAGCACAAGCTGCAAAGGATCTGGATGGCATTGTCCAAATGAGATCTGCTTTTTGCAGTTAGTAAGACTGTTTTACCATAATTCAGTAAAACAGATGTAAGTTCAAACTCTTGGTGTCAGTCGCTGAAAACAAATACCACAGGTGCCAACTTTGGTTGCTAAGGGAATATAAGCTCCTTTGGCTTCCCAGTATGTGTGCAAACAGCTAGAAATTGTCCAAGGCAGAGGTTCTGCTGTCAGCAGGGAGTGAGTTGCTTTTTTTCAGGTGTCTTCCTACTCAGCTTCATCTCCTGACACGTTACTGAAGTATCAGCCAATGTGGTCAAGATGAAGTCAGTAGATTTCATCAGTGTGAGTTTTTCTATTCTCAGAACTGCAGTTCCAGGCATTTGTTTGTGATATTAGTCTTATTGTAATATTTCATATTAAGTTTTGTCACACTTGGCTCTGTGTCCACTAAAGATCTGGATACAGCATTTATGGGAATGCATTCATGGGAAGGTCTCCAGAGTCATCCTGCAGATACAGCAAACCCAGTGTCCCCAACCCTTTTCCTCCCTCTTTCTGGTTGCAATGTTTTACTTCTTTTCTTATAGGATAGGAAATGACTTTGCCTCTGATCCACCATCCCTTATCTGAGGAAAATCATTTTGTCATAATTCAGCCTTCATTTTGGAAGGAATTGCTGAAAAACCTCGATTCTCCTAAGAGTAAAAATTCAACTAACACTTGGCTACTTATGAATTAGTTCTCCAGATCCACCTATTTCATATCTTAAGTGCTTTGTGGCTGAAAGGTCAGATCTAAAATAACCTCACATATTCTCCCTCTGAATAGAAGAAATTATTTCGATTGTACAGGTCAGCTCAGAGAACCAGCCAAGCAATGTTTAGCTCACAGGTGTTGCTGGTTCTGATGTCCTGAAGGCAGTGTAGACTTGTGTAGTGATTCCCAGCTGAAGGCTGGTTGGCTTGTGTGAAGTTATTTGTCAGCTGTTCCTGCCTCCCTGGGGACTGGAGGAGGTAAACTCCTGTTTTCTCTGAGGCAACAGGGAGGTACACCAACACAGTTTGAAATCTGCAAATTTTCCCACTGAGCTGCACTTCACAGGGAAGATTTGAATCTAGACATACTCTGTTATTCATAATGGTTCTGGAAATAACTGATTTTTGCAAATTTTTTCCCAGAAGTCTGAGTTTTTGTCTTGGTTTTTTTTTTTACACTTCTTAAGAATGTCTATTGTCATGTCAGGTTTGATTTTCTCTGTGTATATGTACATTCTTACCATAATTTGAATTTGGAGCACCCCTGATTTTGTTAGTGTATTTATCCTCAACTATATCAGTATAGTAGAGTAAAGGCTGAAGAGAGAGAATGGGAGGAGGAGGTGGTGAAAAAACCTTCCAGTTACTTTGGGACTTGGAGAGGTTTACATTTTGAGTAGCTTTTCAGGGTTTTGGAAATCTTTCTGTTTCTCAACGAAAGGAGAGAAAGGGACAGACTAGTTATGGGGACAAGGGGTTCTGTGGAAGTGAAGGAAAGGGAAACAAAGCTGGAAACCAAGGCTTTCACCAGGAACCCTTCTCTGCCACTTTCCTCTGAGTGAGTGACCTTGTTCATCAGAGGAAATCTCTTCTGTAAGGAAAAGCAGAGCTGGGTTTAAGTGAGGGACAGAGAGCACTATGAAGCTTCTTGTTTCCATAAACTTACTGAGGAATGGCACGCAACTTCAATGCACATGTGATTAAACTAATCTAGTTAAAATCAGAAAAGGATTTCTCATAATTCAATTGGAGTTGTTTTTAATGTTTGGACTTTGGTCAAGGACAGCTTTATTGATTGAATTTAATTGCTTATATTTTCCTGTCCATTTATTGAAGCCCATTTTTCAAGTCACTTGAGAGGCTGCTAACATTTCAGAAAGGGGATATGCCAAAGCATTCCTTTAATTCATTATCTTTTTGGACATACAGTAGTTGCTACTTGGCCCAAATTAAATCCGTTAGAGAATGTGATAGCATAATTACTTACAGGTATCCAAAACTGCTTTTAACGGAATTCTGTAGGAGGTTACACATAAGATTTGTTTTGCCCTTACATTGGATGCAAGTGTCTGGGGTTTCAATGATAAATAAATATTTCATCAACTGAGAATGGATTTTTCTCATTTCCATATGTTGCTGATGGACTAAAATTCTTGTGAGGTTTTTATTTTTCCTTTAAAATAAAAGTCTTATAAATTGGTTCAGTCCCTTTTTCAAAATGTGTAAACACAGTGACCCTTGAGGTAAAGAGGAAACCACCTGTGATTCTGACTTGTTTTTTTTCTTCCAAACTGTGCTCAACCCTGAAAGACTTTCTAGACAAAACTCCACATTAGCTTGATTGCTTCACGCTGTGTCCTGATGACATCAAGTCTGTGACTCTCTGCAAGTTACATCAGCCTGATTCCAAATAGAGTGAAGGGCTGGATATTCCCAGCCTGGAAAGACCTATGGGCTGGCAAACACCATAGGAAGGTCAGCAGCAAATTGCACTGCAAACCCCCAGGCACAGCCCTTGCACAGAACCAAGCTCCTGTAAGCTCTGTCCCTGCTTTCCTCACCTATCTGCTCCTATTTCCTTGTCTTTGCTCCTTGTTGTGGCTTCCTGCCTTGGAGAAGTCCTCAGTCTAGCAAAGAAATTGGACATGAGCAAGTCTATAAAGACAGAGGAACATCTGCTGGCACTTGTGGACCCAGCTGGTGTTGGGGTCAGTTCTCTGGCTCTGCACTGAAAGTACCTTACATTATCTTGTGTTTTGTGAAAACTAAAGCTGCAGTGGTTGCAGTTGTTAAGATAGTATTTATTGATACAAGGTCTAGAAAATGTGAATCTACCTATAATAACTCACATTCAGTGCTTTTTTTCAGGCACCTGACTCTTTTGTTAGGGAGATGCATAAGACAAAACTTGTTTTAGTTTCAAAAACTTCAAATCAGACACAATCCAGACTTACATACTAAATTTTCTTATATGAGAGCATAATGCTTCCTTGGAGTGAGACAAGGCTCTCACAAAGACCCCAGGATTTATCCTCTTCTTGCAGTAGCTCTGTGCTTAACAAATGCAAGCTGAAATACCTGATGTATGTAATATCTCTCCTCCCCCCAAAACACCAACATTTAAATGTTGCCTAATTCACAAAAGTTTTGCTTCAGAATCCAGTGATCATATCTGATAAAAGGCACAAGGAATTCCTTTCACAAGGAACTGAACCACAGATGGTTATGTGATTTGAGGGCCACTGAACATCAACAGTTTTACCAAGTGAATCAGAATTAGAGAAACACCTGCATGACTGCATCTGCAGACTCAGCTAAATTACGCTTCCATCCAGCCACATGATATTTAATGTGTAATTCTTCTGCATTTTAATCAAATGCATTGTAATGACAGTACAAAATTTCAATATGAATGCACCTTAATGTAGGAGTAACTAATAGCTGCCTTGCATTAGTACCAGCTAAGAGACATACTTCCTCCTAAGCAACAGGGGCACGGTTATTTTAACTCATTACCTGCTTTGTAAATGACATTTAATTACACATGAAGTGGGGATGTTCACAGGACATTGCTGGGAATGCAAGATTGAGCACCAGAAGTTAGCAAATATTTGAAAAAACATTGTAGAAAGGTGTTCGTGAACCCTTGCATGGCAAGAAAGGCTCTGTGCACCCTTCCCAAATGATGCCTCTTCCCTGTAAAACCTGCTCCAACTTTAGCAGTTTAATGCTGTAAAA